AATAATAAATAATGATAATGATAATAATAATAATAACAATGCATATCTTTTAAAAATCCAAACAACGAAAACGGAAAACAAAAGAAAAGGAAAACGTCCCCACCGCATTTATCACAAAAGAATGAAAATTGACCAGATATCATCGGACTTCTTTACCCGCGAGACAGACCCCCAAGTGACCGCAAATCACTGGGAATCCCGCCACAGATCGCGACCAGCCCGAAGGTGTGGCGGCGCTGGTGTTAAGGAATTTGAAACGGATTTTTTTTTTCCTTTTTTTTCGAGAATATGGAAATCGTCACACCCCTTTTTCTTTAAAAAAAAATTATGTATTTTTTTTTCTTTTCTTTTTCCTTTTTTTTTCTTTTTTTTACAGTTATTTGTATGTTCAATTTGTGAGTATCTGTGTCTCGATGTCTGTAGTTATGTGTTCATGTAGTTATTTATCAATATATTCATATAGATAGATAGATAGATAGACTGATTAGATAGATAGAAAAATAAATAGATAGATAGATAGATAGATAGATAGATAAGTAGACAGATAGACAGATAGGTAGATAGATAGATAGACAAATTGATAGAAAGACAGGCAGGCAGACAGACAGACAGACCGACAAACAGACTGACAGACACATAGACAGAAAAACAGACATATAGGTAGATCGGTAACCAGACAGATAGACAGTCATATTGGTGAATATATAGATAAGTTTATTCCATACCCTTACGTAGGTAGATTGTGAAGAAATAAAAATTACTTTCGTATGTTATCTTTCCGGTTAATTCGTTGTATGACAAAGGTTTATGTTTTTTTGTTTTGTTTTTGCTTTTAAGGATTATATTCAGTTGTTCTTGTTTCTGGCTGGTTGTCTTGAGTTTCTTATTGTCTGATTTTCTTTGTTTCTTCCTGGTTAATTGTTAATGAATTTTATTGGCAAATTGTCTTTACTTTTAAATGGCTGATTATTCTTACTTCTTATTGCGTAAGTTTCCTTGCTTCCTATTGGCTGGTCTTACCCATTCTTGGCTTTTTTTTTCTTCCTTACGACAAAGGTTTATCGTAGGGAAGGAAAAAAATAAGCACAGACATTAAGATTTCAGCCTTTAGTGTTTAGTTAACGATTAGTCTAAAGTTTCACCATAAAGAAATCTTAATATAATCTGGGATACAAAAGGAAAAAAATATATATACTGCTTGTGTAGTGTTTGAATGCGAGTTTATTCTTATTGTTTCGTTCCAACGTTTTGTTCATTGTTTCCGGGTGGCTAACGATGCCATGATATTCCATTATTTGAAATGTAATTTTCAATCCCAACTGGTGAGTTCATTGCTCGTTACTTGGCCACGTAACTTATTTTCACTTTGTTTCGAGCTGCAGTGACTAGCGGAGCAGACGAAGATGCACGTTGCAGTAGCGGTGGGGCTGTTAACATAGAGCAGAGGTCATGAGTCCGAGCTCATGGCCGTCACCCTGCTTGCTATTCTTACGAAAACCCGGCTCGCAAAAGCACAACCGACGAAATGAGTAACTCAGCGCCTGTCAACGTGATAGTGGCGTGGAGGTCAGAGCACATTTGCACGGCTGAGATCTTCACAGTCTATGATTTGAGTTTTTTGTTTTCTTTTCCTCAATACATTTCATGCAATCTAATCCCTGGTTTGCCTGTTTTCCTATATCTTATTTGTACTCCTAGGTACTGTTGCGTTCCCTTTGGCACTCCGGCACAAAGGCCACCCCTAGACACTTTCTCTGGCCCTCGAACCGAAAAGGTTGCCGACCCCTGACGTAAGGTGACACAGAGAGGACTGTGTGAGCATAAGGTGCCATTATACGAGAGAGAGAGAGAGAGAGAGAGAGAGAGAGAGAGAGAGAGAGAGAGAGAGAGAGAGAGAGAGAGAAAGAGAGAGAGAGAAGAAGAAGAGAGAGAGAAAAAGAGAGAAAGAGAAAGAGAGAGAGAGAGAGGAGAGAGAGAGACAGAGAGAGAGAGAGAGAGAGAGAGAGAGAGAGAGAGAGAGAGAGAGAGAGAGAGAAGAAGAAGAAGAGAGAGAGAGAAAGAGACAAAGAGAAAGAAAGAGAGAGAGAGAGAGAGAGAGAGAGAGAGAAAGGAGAGAGAGAGGAAGAGAGAGAGAGGGAAAGAGAAAGAGAGAGGGAAAGAGAAAGAGAGAGAGAGAGAAAGCCACAGTTACCGAAAAAAAACACAAGTCTCATAAGTACGTCGTAGGAGTACACATGTTACAGTTGCCAACAAGTACATAATTAAGCTCACTACCTGTAATTTGGACGCAAAATATAGACAGGTACTACATTCTCGAGAAAAAAAAACACAGAAAACCAGACCCCCCATCTCAACCAAACACACACAAAAAATAATAAAATAAAATAAAATATAAATAAATAAAATAAAACAAATCACGTAACACCTCAATGAAACAAAAAAAACAAGCTTCTCCTAAAATCTCAAATTTAGGAAGTAACCGAGAAGCAAGTGAAAGTGC